AGGTATGAAAATGATGAAATACTGATTTCAGATTTTGTATCAGGCATTCCAAGATGACAGGGAAAACATCTTCGCTGTTGTCAAACATGTGGAAACCATGCCAGATAGGTCAGGAAAAGGACTTCATAAGTAAAGCCTTTAATCATTTCTAGGTAAAGGTCCGAATGCTCATTTATTACTGTGTTGCAAAAGTGCATAGGAGACCTATAAGGGGCCAGGAGCCCAGTGTGTCGCACACTGTACACGGAGCAAGACAACAGTCCCTGCCTCAAAGACCTTACATGCTACATAATCTAAAATACGGAAGGCAAATTTGTCAGCCATATCTGGCCCATAGAGGCAAGTCATCTGGCCAGTGAGGCTTCTAGTGGACTGGCCAACCCACCCCTGCAGGCTGGATTCGGCCCACAGGTCTTGTTGCTTGAGCTGCTGGAGCCACTGTGTCAATGCAGCTCCTGAACCCCAACAGTTAACACTGCTACCATTCAGCCTCCTCCCGCTCTGGCCTGATGCTAAATTGACAGTTTTTAACTTCCACTCACAACTAAAATCAGCAGCAGCAGGAAAGGGGAGAGCATGTGGCAGTTGCATTTAACCACCCAGCTTCCAGAGCTGCACCAACACAGTGGCTCCAAAGCCAGTGATAAATGTTCTCACCACCGCTTATAAGTCTTCTGGCCAAATTCATATCTGGATCATAGGCCAAATTAGTTTGACACCCTGGTCTTAAAACTTAAATACATTCATAAATCAAACCTAGGTTGTAATTGTCCTGTGACTGCTGGCTCACATTAAATTATTTTAGAATCTAAATCCAGATCCTAGGCAAGTGTCTGTCAACATAACAAAAACCACTCTTGCAATCTATACTCTTTGGCACTCCCACTTACTATCACAGTAGGGCCAAGTATTGAATGGCAAAGAATGAACTATTTTTCCTTCAGTAGAGGGAGTGGGGTGAAGTCCCTTACATTACACTGCCCCTGCTGAATCTTTCTAGGTGAAAGTAGGACAGGGAATCTGGCACTCTTCATGAGACTTGAATCACTCAATTGAAAAAAGTCCTGGAAACAGATCTTTTTAATGATCATTTTAACTCTGAGACCAATCTTTGCAGTAGCAAATCTATTCCTTCTTTTTTAAAAGACTGTGTTTTCAGATTAAATGACTTTCCACTGTAAAAGCTGAGCAAAGCAAATTTCAACAGAAATGTAACTGCTGAAAATGTTCCTGTTCATGAAGTGTCAACAGATGGCAATTTTTATTCATTTGCTCTCTATTGACCATTCATTTCCTCAGGTCATTTATGTAATTACAAGCCTGAAAATCACTATTTGCAAGTATTCTTCTATTTGAGTGAATGATTGCCCAGAGAAAATAAAAGTTTGAAAACACAGACAGAATGAAATTCTCATTAGAATAACCAAAATAGATTTTCCCACTATTTGCACAGCTCTAGCCACTGTTTTTAAATGTCTAGAGCAATTGTGTGTCTTCAGTTCTCATTTTACTACTTCTTAGCATTTCATAAATCATTGTTATATATTCTCTATCACTAACACATGTGAACAAACTTAAACTGAAATCCTTCAACCTAGTCAGTCTATTGCACTGCCAGCATGCAGATACATAATCAAAAGCATTGAAGTCTGTGGTAAAACCCAACCTTGCATTACTCCAAAAATGGACTTTCTAAACAAAAACTTTTCCAAGGTCTCCTTAATAGAATTTATGCTTCCATCTGGAAATGTATTTTCAGCAAATATTATAAGTGAGCTTCTACAAGATGTTTTTTTTTAACTAACTCAGCCACTAATATTTCCATTCTGCATCAAATGAAGTCCTGAATATTTATCACAAGCAAGTACATTCTGAAAGAATCCTACAAAATACTCCTCCTATAAACTGATTACACCTACCTGGAAGTTTCTAATAATTTTATTTAAACATTCCTAAAAAATGGTTTCAAAATTGAATAATCAAATTCACAGAGACTAAAAGTATAGGCCCAAACTTTGCAAGTGCTGGCCTGTACTTTAAGAAGGTGATAGGTGATACATATTCATTGAACCATACACTTATGACACTTGAAATATGAATAATGTTCCCCTCAAAATAAGATAATTTATTATTCATAATTTATTGTTCTGCTACTTACAAAGTTCCAATAAAGAAACATAACAATGTTCTAAATAGTCATTTACAAGCTATGAATAGACACAATTCATACTTTGCAAGCAGTCCATAGGTTAAAATGTGTTTCCAGACACTTAGTCAAATAATTTCCATAGAAAAATCTAGTAAAGCTTGTTCACAGTGATTTCAGATTGAAAAGGGTATTTTATTCAAAACAAGTATCTGAGCATCTCCAATCATTATGCATGTTTTGTATAAAAAAGGACCCCAAACAACAAAGGAACTTTCTCTGATCTGTGAAACATTTTTGGTTGATCATCACTTTGATTGGCATCATGGAAATGACAAAACAACTGATTACAAAAGCAACTTTAAGAGAAGGTGATGCACCACAATGAAAAAAGGAAGTTTTCCACAACCCACAATGAAATGTGTTAAACTTTGAAGTGTGTCATTCTAAGGAGATTTTCTCTTGTGGGCACAAAACTACCATTCAGCCCTTGACCTCATGGTGAAGTCAGAGACCCTGATGCTCATCCAAGTTGGCACTCTGATCACTTTCGACTAATTCCATTGTTATGTTGCTTTCTATTACATCATTACTAGGGTTATCTTACAAAAACCTTTCTTAAAGGGTCTTTTATTCAGCACAGTAGTATTCAGGTACTATTTTCCTAGATCAGTGGTGCTTGACATTTCAGCCCCATGGGCCAGATGAATGGCACAGGACTGGTCTGGATTGAACCCTGCTTGCTCAGATCAGGCTAGGATCAGGTCCTGGGGCTCCATACCACCTCTATGCATCAGATTCGGTCTCCTGGGCCCCACATCACTCCCATGCACTGAGATCAGCCTTTGGGTCCCCTACAACACCCTTGCCCAGCCCCAGGAACTGGGATCAGGGCGCAGGGCTCCACGCTGCTCTGGGCACCCGATCTAGCTCACAGGACCACAGCCCACAGGGCTCTCCATGGATGTGTAGGGCACCCCATGGGCTGGATGATAGTGTTAGGGTCAGATCTGGCTGTGGGTCAGGGGTTAAGCACTTCTGCCCTAGATAATAATGAAATGATAAAGGTTTCACTACAATAGTAGAGTTGTGTTTGAAACATCTCCTAGGGGAAAAAAACCCAAAACAAATAGCTGTTAAATCACATCATGCCACTGAGTGCATGAAGTAGTAGTATACAGGATTTGGTCCTTGGGGATGGGAATGGAAAGGGGTGGGGGAGAAAGCAGCTACTAAGTGTACATGTACAAATGACTCTTCATATGTATAGAATGGGTATATGTCCCTCTTTTGAGACAAAATTAATTGTGCACACAAGAATTAAGATGGCAAGTCTTAAAATGTGGTTGCTTGTTTGTCATAGTGCATTGGCAGAAGAAGTCTTAGATTCTGCAAATGGATCCATTTCACACAGAATTGTATGACCACAATGAACCCCTACTTGGACTAAAGAACCACAGACAAACAGATGAGAATCAGATTAGAATCCAAAGATGCCCCACTAGATCAAAGGTCAACCCTGTGCTTGTTACAACATGGAATCCTCCTAAATCCTAAACTGAATTGAAAAAGCAGGCTTCCATTTGCTGGGTGCTCGGCAATGGAGAACCTATACACAGGGATTCTTCATCCCACTAAACATCATTGTTAAGATCTCTGCTGCACATCTGCACCTCTCAGGAGCAGGATATTGCTGAGAGACCCTAGTTCTCTTCTTCTGTGTATGCTAGTAAGTGTTGCACACCTGAAACTAGAAAAAGAGTTTTGTGCTTTGGAGTTTTCTGGGATGACATGGAAGCTTAAGGGCTTCTGTTTAAGGAGAGAGTCAAAAACAGTCTTGAAATGTACATGAAAATCATACTGCCTTTTAATTTGCTTCAAAGTGATGATGTTAGACATAATATAGATGCTCAATGTCCCAAAAAG